TGGAGTCCCAAGTTTGTTAACAGTGTCTTCATCAATGCGTGGCTGCACTGAGATCAGATCCAAGGCCTTTAAGAGAAGCTGCCAAGCACACAACCTGATACCTTCTAGATGTATTAGCCTAAAAATCTCATGAACTCCAGCCAGCAAACTCTGGCTACAGTTGCTTTGTGTCCTATCTGACAGAATCCCTAACTGGTGATCCTGCTGTCAGAATTCTATGAGGGTTAGAGTCCAAAGAATTTGGATGGTTTAGAAGCACTATACGACTAGGCTCAGGATTAATGGATTGTGGACATTTAAAAGCAAGTTGTAGCCAATTTGATGATAGTAATACATTACAATTTCTCACTTTTTTTGGAGCCAGATTACTGGAATATTGAAGAAGTAATAGTTCCATGGAAAGCAGCTGAAAGAGCAATTGCGTGTATTTAATACATTTTTCGATTACCAAATTGATGTTAATAAGTATCGAGATTTTGTGGGAAATGTTTTAAAAAACTACCAGAACTATTCAATTCATGAAAGTGTTCAAAGAGCTAAAAATATTGTCAGAACAATTTCTGTAAGTTCAGCAGAAGCAGAAAGGGGTTTTTCAAAGATGAACATTATATGTTCTGAGAAGAGAAGTTGCCTGACTGTTTCCAATATATCAAACATAATGATTATCAGTCTATCGGCCTACTGCTAAAGGAATGGAATCCTACTCCTACAGTGCAAAGATGGTTAAGGGTAAATCACACAGCTAATGATGCTCGGATAAAAGCAAAGAAACTTGCAAATGAGGACACCAATCAAACAGCAATATGGAAATATCTTCAATAACTGTTTGTCAGGTATTTATTATTAAAAATCTTCCTTTAAACATAATCTAGTTGTCTGTACCTCTTTTACTGTTCTTATTGCAGTATTTAATGTGTGCATAATTAAAATACCTTTTGGTATATATTTTGGTATAGTTAAAATGGTCATTAGGACATAGAACCTGTTGTTAATTTATTTGAATCCCACCACTTCCTCCAGCCCTACAGCAACATAGCATTATATTGATAAAAAAGGTGGTACAAATTAAAAGTTTCTCATTGAACCAGAAATTTGGTTTCTCATTAAATCCTAAATTCAGTAAGATGCTGTTCTCAGCCCCTCACTGAATAAGCTGATAATCCTTATGGACCAATTGCCATATTCCACTGTACACCACGAAAATCGGGGCATGGTAGCAATCTGCTTCAGCATGAAAATGAAGTTTATATAGCATGGGGGATTTATCTAAATTGTATTTCTATGCTAACATAAAGTGTGTGGAAATCCAATTCAAGCTGGAAAGCAATGAATCAAGTCAATAAGCTTTACTTCCTTAAGGAATTTGTATATATGATGGTTAAAAATAAACCCATCCACACATCCCCTAATGCTGCTGAGACTTGTCACCAGATATTTTAAATTGCTTATCCTTACAGAGTCCATGCTTGACCATAAACCCTCCAATTTATGTCATCTACCTAGTTAGTGGACCCACTATGGGATGCCAGTTAAGTATTTCTCACTCCCTCAAATTATCTACAGTGAGCAGATCCTTTCAGCCTCCATGCAGTTAGCAAGAAGATTGCGGCTGCAAATATAGAGTCCCTGGGACACAGTTACTAATGGATATCTGCAGAAAATCTGAAAAACAAGGCTGATTGGGAATCAACTTTATGGGTAGAAAAGCAAACAGTAGACCACTTCGTTTCCATGGCACAGACCTGCTCTATTCATTTTCCCCCCTTCTTCGGCATTTTTCCTTAAATGTTTAAGTCTTTGAGGCATTCTTTGTATACACAGGAGATGGATGGAGCTTTTAAAAAGACATTAAAGTGTGTGGCAATAAGGAAGATGCTTCCTCAATATATACACAGGGTCCAGACCCATGTTATATAATGACTAACCATTAATTTAGGCATGAGGCAGCTTCTTCAATATGAATGGCTACATAGCCATTTGTTCATTTTAACTCACAACTAGTTCATATTAGTTCATACAGTACTTTCAAAAGAAACACCATGGTCATTTCTATACAGTGCTTCTTGTTTGTTACCTGTGTGATTCCAATAGGTTGCATTATATTTTTAACATGCTAACTTTTTCCATCTATTTGCTATCACAGAACAAAGTACTTCAGAACATCTAAATCAGTGCAAGTGATAGAGCTAAACTATATTATGGAATTTGTAGACCGTTTGGGAAAAACTGCAAGGCTGGGAAAAGCAACTTTGGAACAATGAAAAGAACATTTCTGAAGGAGTCAGTGACAAATGTGCCACAAGGAGTGAACAATGACAATTTTCATGCCATGCTTTACAAATCCCATTCTGTAATCCACTATAGTTTGATGAATTAATTAATATAAATGCAGCGAATTAAAGAGCAATAGATTAACTTCCCAACGTCTAACATTTACTATTAACAAATTCATTTTCAAAGTTAATGTGCCAAGCTCTAACGAGTATTCATTATTTGTGCATTTTAAAAAGAGAGCACGCAGGGATCATGTTTTGCTTATCTTCCCTCCCCCATGAAATGAATATTGTGTGTAATTTTTAGTACTATTTCTAATTTACCTTGTGTTCGATTGAAATTACATCAGTTGAGATGACCAGCTCTCGTGTTGATGGAAGTCCAGGGGGACCAGGGGGACCAGGATCACCCTGCAAGAAAGCCACAATGATACAGTCAGCATGTGAAATGAAAGTTTAAACAACAGCGGATAGACTACTTGAACTGTATAAGAGCGAAAAACATTTAGAGAATAGTTGTAAATTATAGTGATTTTTCAAGCCTGGAAAACTGAAGGAGCTGATGCTATACAGTAAATATATGAATGGTTTGGGAAAATAAGTAGGTTAGAATCAATATTTTAGGAATTTCATGACTCTCTGCTCCCGAGGGAGCATAAGGCCACACCACTGCATTGCCTTCTCTCCTGGTGCCATCACCTCCACCTCTTCTTCTTCCACCATATCACCATAATTTCTTTCCCCCCCAGACATATCTGTTTCTTTTTCTCTCCCCTGCCCAGACATCCTGTTTTTCTTTCTCACCACACTTTCAACCCTTCATCTCTCTCCCTCAGCAAGTCTGCCTTTTCCCCCCCTTCTTGAAACCTCCACTGTTTCTTCTGCTTCCTCTGGGCACCTCTGCCCCTTATGTCTCTCTCCCTAGAACACCGCTTTCTCTTTTCTCCCTACACCACTTCCTGTCCCACCTCTGCTGCTTTTCCAGTCTTACGCTCACTCTTCCAGAATGTATTTGTGGGGGAAAACAGCGTAAGTGAACTGTTCTGTACAAAACAAGCTGTTTTCTCATTGCTTGGTTTTTCTGCTGGCATTTTCTGCAGGCTAAAAACCTCGGGGGGGGGGGATACTGATTCTGAAAGATCCTCAAAACCAGGCAATTGGAAACCAGCCTCTTCAGGATAGCAGAGGTAGTGCTCCAGAGATTTGGATGTTTAGGGGTAGTGGCTACGCTTGGTGGGCTTCCTTCTGAGCTAGCTACCTCATCTTGACTAGTGGAAAGATTAAGCCTGCTGGTCACTCCATTTAAAAAGGGATTTCACAGGGCAAAACAAGACATAGTTTTGGGCATTTGCTATTAAAATACCTCCTATAATAGTTAAATGGCTGCTTTGGATGAGCCACAACAGGACAGGGACTGCAGCATGGAAAAGCATTAAACCTTTTATCCTCCCCCCCTTGAAGCTGTCTGTTCACACAGCCTCAGATTTTCTACTTGCTTGTGTTGTAGTACTTATTTTGTAAAGCATAATCAAAGATTGCAATGATCACTCTGAACTGTGCTCCTCATACTGTATTTCTTGCAAATGCAAATAAAAGAGAACTCTTTTACCTTTTCACCTTTTTCTCCATAAAAGCCAAGGCCCCGGTTGCCCTGAAATAACAATTGATAGGTATTAGCCAATATTTTTAGACAGATGGAATATTTCACCAAATAAGAATGAAGAAAATGTACTGGTTTCCACAACATCACTAGTGTCATTATATACTACTTTAAAATAATTATGTGAAATCTAGTTTGCAAATTATCATTTCTGTGAACATCTTAGAGCTTTATGTTTCAAGTGTGTGTGTTTAGTCGTTTAGTCGTGTCCGACTCTTCGTGACCCCATGGACCAGAGCACGCCAGGCCCTCCTGTCTCCCACTGCCTCCCGGAGTTGGGTCCAATTCATGTTGGTTGCTTCGCAGACACTGTCCAGCCATCTCATCCTCGGTCGTCCCCTTCTCCTCTTGCCTTCACACCTTCCTAACATCAAGGTTTTTTCCAAGGACTCTTTTCTTCTCATGAGGTGGCCAAAGTACTGGAGCCTCAGCTTCAGGATCTGTCCTTCCAGTGAGCACTCAGAGTTGATTTCCTTTAGAATGGATAGGTTTGTTCTCCTTGCAGTCCAGGGAATTCTCAAGAGCCTCCTCCAGCACCACAATTCAAAGGCATCAATTCTTCGGCGGTCTGCTTTCATTATGGTCCAGCTCTCACTTCCATACATCACAACAGGAAAAACCATAGCTTTGACTATTCGGACTTTTGTTGGCAAGGTGATGTCTCTGCTTTTTAAGATGCTGTCAAGATTTGTCATCGCTTTCCTCCCAAGAAGCAGGCGTCTTTTAATTTCGTGGCTGCTGTCTCCATCTGCAGTGATCATGGAGCCCAGGAAGATAAAATTTGACACTGCCTCCATATCTTCCCCTTCTATTTCCCAGGAGGTGATGGGACCAGTGGCCATGATCTTAGTTTTTTTGATGTTGAGTTTCAGACCATTTTTTGCACTCTCCTCTTTCACTCTCATTACAAGGTTCTTTAATTCCTCCTCACTTTCTGCCATCAGAGTGGTATCATCTGCATATCGGAGGTTGTTGATATTTCTTCCAGCAATCTTAATTCCGGCTTGGGTTTCTTCCAGTCCAACCTTCCGCATGATGTATTCTGCATACAAGTTAAATAAGCTGGGGGACAGTATACAGCCTTGCCGTACTCCTTTCCCAATTTTGAACCACTCAGTTGTTCCATGACCAGTTCTGACTGTTGCTTCCTGTCCCACATATAGGTTTCTCAGGAGACAGATAAAGTGGTCAGGCACTCCCATTTCTTTAAGAACTTGCCATAGTTTGCTGTGGTCCACACAGTCAAAGGCTTTCGCATAGTCAATGAAGCAGAAGTAGATATTTTTCTGGAACTCTCTGGCTTTCTCCATAATCCAGCGCAAGTTAGCAATTTGGTCTCGAGTTCCTCTGCCTCTTCGGAATCCAGCTTGTACTTCTGGGAGTTCTCGGTCCACATACTGCTGAAGCCTACCTTGCAGGATTTTGAGCATAACCTTGCTAGCGTGCGAAATGAGTGCAATTGTACGGTAGTTGGAGCATTCTTTGGCACTGCCTTTCTTTGGGATTGGGATGTAGACTGATCTTTTCCAATCCTCTGGCCACTGTTGAGTTTTCCAAACTTGCTGGCATATTGAATGTAGCACCTTAACAGCATCATCTTTCAAGATTTTAAATAGTTCAACTGGAATGCCATCACCTCCACTGGCCTTGTTGTTAGCCAGGCTTTCTAAGGCCCACTTGACTTCACTCTCCAGGATGTCTGGCTCAAGGTCAGCAACTACATTGTCTGCATTGTCCGGGATATCCAAATCTTTCCGATATAATTCCTCTGTGTATTCTTGCCACCTCGTCTTGACGTCTTCTGCTTCTGTTAGGTCCCTCCCATTTTTGTCTTTTATCATGTTCATCTTTGCGCAAAATGTTCCTCTAATATGTCCAATTTTCCTGAACAGATCTCTGGTCTTTCCTTTTCTGTTATCTTCCTCTATTTCTTTGCATTGTTCATTTAAGAAGGCCCTCTTGTCTCTCCTTGCTATTCTTTGGAAGTCTGAATTCAAGTTTCTGTAACTTTCCCTATCTCCCTTGCATTTTGCTTCCCTTCTCCTCTCTGCTATTTCTAAGGCCTCGTTGGACAGCCACTTTACTTTCTTGCATTTCCTTTTCTTTGGGATGGTTTTCGTTGCTGCCTCCTGGACAATGTTACGAGCCTCTATCCAAAGTTCTTCAGGCACTCTGTCCACCAAATCTAGTTCCTTAAATCTGTTCTTTACTTCCACTGTGTATTCATAAGGGATTTGGTTTAGATTATACCTGAGTGGCCCAGTGGTTTTTCCTAATCTCTTCAGTCTAAGCTTGAATTTTGCTATGAGAAGCTGATGATCAGAACCGCAGTCAGCTCCAGGTCTTGTTTTTGCTGACTGTATAGAGCTTCTCCATCTTTGGCTGCAGAGAATATAATCAATCTGATTTCGATATTGCCCATCTGGTGATTTCCATGTATAGAGTCGCCTCTTGTGTTGTTGGAAAAGAGTGTTTGTGATGACCAGCTTATTCTCTTGACAAAACTCTATTAGCCTTTGTCCTGCTTCGTTCTGAACTCCAAGGCCAAACTTCCCTGTTGTTCCTTTTATCTCTTGGCTCCCTACTTTAGCATTCCAGTCCCCTAGAATGAGAAGAACATCTTTCTTTGGTGTCAGTTCTAGAAGGTGTTGTAAATCTTCATAGAATTGTTCAATTTCAGTCTCCTCAGCAATGCTGGTTGGTGCATAAACTTGGATTATTGTGATGTTGAAAGGTCTGCCTTGGATTCGTATTGACATCATTCTATCATTTTTGAGATTGTATCCCATTACAGCTCTTCCCACTCTTTTGTTGACTATGAGGGCTACTCCATTCCTTCTACGGGATTCTTGCCCACAATAGTAGATATGATAATCATCTGAGCTGAATTCGCCCATTCCTGTCCATTTTAGTTCACTGATGCCCAGGATGTCAATGTTTATTCTTGCCATCTCCTGTTTGACCACCTCCAGCTTCCCAAGGTTCATAGATCTTACATTCCAGGTTCCTATGCAGTATTTTTCTTTGCAGCATTGGACTTTCCTTTCACTTCCAGGCACATCCACAGCTCAGCGTCCTTTCGGCTTTGGCCCAACCACTTCATTAGCTCTGGAGCTACTTGTACTTGTCCTCTATGTTTCAAGTAATATTTTGTAAATCCATTTTCAGATTGAGAAAAGGGTGGAACTTTCAATCCACACTTATTAACATATATTAAAATATCATAACAACAGACACTTCAATCTGCATTGACCAGTACAAGTCTACTAATGATGCTGATTCCTGTCACACTGCTGATATGCCCTTACAGACTTTCTTTCATCAGAATGGGTAGTTGACAGTAACACCAAATCAGGAAATGTTCCTTGTTGACAAAATAGATAATCAATAGCCAAGAACTATTAGACCATGCTACCTTTTTAACCTTCTCTGTCAGATTTCTTAAAGTCCAGGTTTGGCTGCTATTGCCACTGTCCAGAAAACATGCATATAATTTTCAGCAAATATAATACATTTTCTTAATTCATTATTGCTGATTTTTAAAATTAGTATTCACAGCAGTCCATCCATCACAATTCTCCCTTAGTTCCTCTGAGAACTGTAAGTCATGAGCACATTTGTCAAGGTTATAAGATCTTCATAAACCTTGTTCTGTCATTGCTGGACCATCCAACAAAAGGTAAAAAACATGAGATGACTTGAATTCATGTATTGTAAGATCCTGCATTAGCCTTTCTACTCAGCTCTCCAGGTAGTACTCCCAAACTGTCTGTCTTTAGAGGAAACATCAATGGATTAAATACTAATTTCTAGATTCAGCAGTAAATATAGAACGGTTACTTACCTGTAACCATGGTTCTTCTAGTGGACCTCTGTGAATACACAGTTCTGCACCTGTGCAAGGACGTTTCGGAAGTTTCTAGAGCTTTAAAAAAATTGACAATGAGACATCCCCCCGTGGAGCACATGCTCTGACCTCCAAACGTCCCCTCAGTTCCGTGCAAAAGTCTGCCACTGTCAAGGTAGTAGTGTATATTAAAGACAATGTAACCGACAGAGGGGAGGAAGGGAGGGATGTGTGAATTCACAGAGGTCCACTAGAACAGTGGTTCTTAACCTTGGGCTACTCAGGAGTTTTGGACTGCAACTCCCAGAAGCCTTCACCACCAGCTGTCCTGACTGGGGTTTCTGGGATCTGCAGTTCAAAAGCATCCGAGTAACAAAGGTTAAGAACGACTGCACTAGAAGAACCATGGTTACAGGTAAGTAACCTTTCTTTCTTCTTTGTGGCCTCTGTGAATGCACACAAAGGGTGACTGACAAGCTCACTTACCGGATGGTGAGATGTCACAGTAGCAGAGATGTCAGGATCGCCCTGACGAATGCAGCATCATTCCTTGCCATGACATTGAGGCGATAATGCTTGGCAAAGGTCAAAGGATTGGACCATGTCGCTGCTCGGCAGATGTTTGGTAATTCCATGATGAAGAGCAGTGGATGTTGACAATGCTCTGGTGGAATGGGCCTTTAGATGTTCAGGAGGCGATTTGCCTGAAAGTTTGTAGGCTAGTGAGATAGTCTGGAGTATCCAACGAGAGATGGTCTGAGCTGATGCTGCAGCACCCTTGTGAGGACCTTGGAAACAGAGGAAGAGCCTTGGAGATTTCCTAAATGTCCTTGTCCTATTGATATAAAAGGCTAAAGACCTTCGGACGTCCAGCATACGGAGCATGCGCTTGATGGATGTAGAAGGAGAAGGGAACAACGTTGGTAAAATCAAGGGTTGATTCATGTGAAAATCAGAGACAATTTTAGGCAGGAATGATACATCAAAATACATGATGACCTTATCTGGATGAAATTGTAGGTAAGGTGGGTCTGATCAACCCACCTTAGGGCTGCTAATTCGCTGGCATGCTTGGCAGATGTTATTGTCACCAAAATGGTTGTCTTCAGGGACAATAATTTCTCATGACAGGTAGCATTGGTTC